TATATATATATATATATATACATATACTGTATATACACATATACTGTATATGTATATATAAGAGAGTTACAATAAGATGTTTGTTGGAGTTAGGCTTGAATTATTTTGTTAAGGCTAGCTTGAGAGCTTGAGGTTATGGACTATCTTTCACTCACTCCTTTCCTGGGCTGAGTTTACAAAAGCCCATCTTATCTGAATTTCCAGTGTAATCCAGTTAAATTCAAATCTTTTTAAAGTTTACAGTGACCCTGAAAGAAATGATTACAAATGTTTACAGTTTGTGTTTTTCTCCTTGAGCTACATGTGATCACAATGATATCCATCGTTGATATACTGTAGTTCCATCTTTTTATTACTATTACATTGTGGAAATTCAAGAAAAATTCCTAGCTTTGTTCCCTTATGAAACACAACATGAAAACATAAATGTAACAAGCTAATGACCAGTGTTGTGTCGGTGTTGTTCCATCCATTGGTGTCCATCCATTATGTGCAAAATGTAATATGCTCATTGGGGACTAGTCTTCATTGGTCTACTCAGGCTGGGCTTACATAGTTTATATTTAGGGTTTCAGGTCTGTGGTCAGTCAATTCAATGTCAGCTTGTCAGTTCTGAGTGTGTGATTCAGGGACCCACAGACCTGTAGGGGTACCAGTGGGTGCTAACCATTTATTATTAAAAAAAAAAATAGAAAAACCCTGTGTGATGTCACCTATTGGTTTTCTGAAGAGTTTTGGAGCTCAAGTCTGGCCGTTGCCATTTTGGTAGTACATCATTCCGCCTGCTACGGTTAATCCAAAAATGGGCAAAGGGGTGGCACCTAAGTGGAGCTCGCTAGACTGCTAGCAAGCTAGCAAGCTAGCCACTTGTAGCCGGGCCCTCCCACCTGTCACTCAAGCAGCCATGCCCTTAATTATGCACAACTTTGAGCCTCAAACAAGTGAGTTTCGGTGCTCATACATACAGTTGTAATGAAGGGAGAAATTAGCTGTAGAGATCAAAATCACTTTTTTGTTCCAGGCTGTAAACATGTTTATTTCTGCTGTGAAGACGGGCATTTTAACAAGGGAGTCTATGGGGACTGACTTGGAGGTTGGTGCTTGGTGCCACTGAAATCAGTTAATATTTCAGAAACTTGTCTATACTGGGGGAAAAAAACATACTAAAATCAATCATGCAGATTGATTTGGCCATAATTTGAAGGAGATTTATAACAGTAATGTTATTTAATTTTGACAATTATCAACACAATTTTGAGTCATGGAAACTTTATTTTGGCTCATCATTTTCATGCCCAACTGACCATTCACCCTGTTTGAAAATAACTCTTGGATGGTTTTGATGCTAATTACACAAAAAAGAGGACAAATTTATGCTTTAATGTTTGTATTAAACCTGATGCAAGGTGAACTCTATCAGCACTTCTTAATTAAATACCTTTAGGGATAAGTGAACTGTTGTTAAATCATGTAAAATGAGCGACCTATTTCAGCCCGGTCTCACAGAGAAATGTAAAATAACTATGTCGGTACATAGTGTAAAACGTAGTAGTGTCACAATAAAGGTGATGAAATTGTGACATGGCAACATTTGTTGTATTGCAGTTAAGTGTATGTGTTGGTGGTCTTGTTCTTGGTGTTTTATGTCAAACAACGAAATGGCGCATTACCAACTATGGAGACGGAAACTACCATATAGTGTCTGTTGAAGGCGTATAGTTTGGAATAAACGCGGGACTGTCAACTGCAGACAACTGGAGATTGTTTTCTGTGTTCGACACTGTGTTTTAAGTGCTTCGTGTCTTTTAAAGTATTTTTACTGACTCCAGGTCCTTTTCCTAACCTTAACCATGTAGTTTGTGTACCTAAGCATAACTATACGTTCAGTTTCATTGTACTTTTGGTTTCAGTTTTTGCACGATGCAGTGTTACAGTTTTTGAGGCGTTATGATGATAGTGATATGTTTTGTGTCGGCGGAACAACATAGCTATTCTACATTTGCTGTGAGACGGTTGCCTATTTGCAACCTACTGTGACTCCATCTGCTCAGGTCTCTAAAATTTCTCTGTTTCTCCCTCTGGTGCCATCAATAGCTACCTGCAGTTCACACATTTCACATTCTTTTTGAAATTTCCCTTCTTTGGGCGCTACAGTATTTGATATCAGAAACAGCTCACATTATACCACAGTTGTGCTTTTTTTTTTTGTTGTTGTTGGGAGTTCAAGCCATCACTGGAAATGTAATTATTCCTTTAATCAGTGGATGATCATTTTCATTACTGGACACCAAGGAAAAGTGATGATCACAACCAGAAATGCTCTAGCCTTTACATGACATCCACCCCTCTGAAAACCATCCAAAGTAAATGATGGAGCATCTTTACACCTCTACTTTGTGAAGTCGCACAACAAATAAAAAAAACAGTAAAATGGAGACATCAGAGTTCTTATGGTCTGTTACACACTTTGGGCTCCATGTCTGATCTGTGTCCTCACTGTGCAGTCCTGCATGAGCTGTGTTTAGGCTGTAGATGCGTAGCAGGCCAACACAGAACACTATTTGGAGTTTGGTCAGTTGAGCTTAGCACAGATCAGTTTAGAGCTGCATTTCACTAAGCTGTTTCTAGTGAAGTGCAGCTCTTTTGCATCCACCTTTTCCTTCCCAGTTTAATTCAATCAGCAGTTTTGCTTCCGTTTGTTCAGTTCAGCTCAGGTTGGCAGTGTGGAATAAATGCAAATGCATCCTGCCTCTCCTCTTGCAGTGCTGCAGCTTGACTTATTTTTTAATCTTCTACTTCAGGAGCCACTGATTCACTGAAGAAGAGAAGAGAAGAGAAGAGACGAGAAGAGAAGAAGAAGAGAAGAGGAGAAGAAGAGAAGAAAAGAGAAGAGAAGAGGAGAAGAAGAGAAGAAAAGAGAAGAGAAGAGGAGAAGAAGAGAAGAAAAGAGAAGAGAAGAGGAGAAGAAGAGAAGAAAAGAGAAGAGAAGAGGAGAAGAAGAGAAGAAAAGAGAAGAGAAGAGGAGAAGAAGAGAAGAAAAGAGAAGAGAAGAGGAGAAGAAGAGAAGAAAAGAGAAGAGAAGAGGAGAAGAAGAGAAGAAAAGAGAAGAGAAGAGGAGAAGAAGAGAAGAGGAGAGGAAAGGAGAGGAGAAGGGAAGGGAGGAGAGGAGAGGAGAGGAGAAGAAGAGAAGAAAAGAGAAGAGAAGAGAAGAAGAAAAGTAGAAAAGGAGATAATTAGTAGAGAAACGCTAAGCAGAGTGGAATAAAACAGAACAAAGGGTGCCTAAGGTTTCGGAAGTTGTGAAGAGAAAGTGAGAAACCTAATGTGTGCCTGAGGAAGTATATAAACTCAAACCAATGTGTTGACTAAATATTTACTAAATATTCATATTTTTGAGCATGCTATTTGATTGGGGGGAATGGAGGACAGACATTCAGTAGATGTGTGTATAGAATAAAGCAAAACAGAAAAATTACAGTATAGGAAATTAGGCAGAAAACAAATTATTGCTTTTTCAGATCTGGTTATATTCTGCATTTTGTGCAAAATATTAACATACCCAAAATATTTTATACCAACAATCAAAATTACATATTATACGGATATAAACATACAAAGACACTATTTAGGTAGGAACAGATAATACCAAACAAACAGCTTTTGAATTTTTTTCAGTAACATTATGTCACAAACAGGCGTGGATATTTTAAAGTTTGATATTTAAACAGCCAACCAGGTACATCCTTAATAACTTTTTTATGCTGAATTGAATCACCTTAACTACAACTGCATTTTGGATCTCTACACAGAACCTGACCAAGTCAAGCACAAATATCGTTTCTGACTCTGCTCAAATTCTACACAGTGAATTTCAGCTTTTACCTTCTGGCAGGAGTGAGAGTTCCTAGATACAGGCGGATCTGCTACAAATAGTCATTTATTCAAACCTGTATCAGTCTTCCTAAAACAACTTAAGGCATACAATTGTCTACAGGGTCTTGTGCAGTAATTCTTATATACAGTATAGTATAGTGCCGTGTGTAATTGTATTGTGTTATTGTATTGAGATACTGCAATGTACAGTCCAAATCAAATTTCCCTTGGTGGGCTAATGTAGGCTTTAGTCTCCTGATCTATGTCTCTCCATAACGTCTGTTTTTCAACACTGTTAACTTTCCTTCCACCTTCAGTCCTGACATCTCTGCATCTGATCAGTGATCTGTCTGTCTGTTCCTCAAGCCAATCAATCACTGGCTGCTGTCCTTTAAATATCATTGCAATTCTACCCATTTGTCTTGCAGACCAATGACTGACTGACTGACTGACTGACTGGTTGATGAGCCTGCTATTTCAGCCATTTAGTTCAGTTTCTCCTTATTTTTCTCATCTGCTTGATTCCAATGACTACATTCAGTGTGGTGTAAAATTGCTGTGCTGTTTTGCTTTTCTTTCTTCCATAATTTTAGAGTCAAGAAAACAAACCACTGGGTAGGTATTTTCCTCACTGCTGCTACAGAACACCTGCACATTGATACTCAACTGGTGACTGGCTGCAGCATTTTCACTCTGATCAAATACAGTTTTCACTACAGTCTATAAGTAATAAAAAATAAAAGCAAAACTCATGAATCATAGTCAGTCGTTGAAGGCAGTTTAGTGTGTCAAGGCACAATGACCCCACTGCGGAAATAGAAAAAAAGCAGACAAGAACTGCAGCAACTGGAAGTACAGAGTAGAGATCCATGGGTATGAGTAAGAAGAGAACAAATGGAAATCTGTGAGGGAGAGAGACAAGAGAGTGACACTAACTCTAGGAAAAAGAGAAATCCATTCAGTTATTTCCCACCAGGGCTTCTCTCATCAGCAATAAGTGCTCTCTGCTTGCATCTTCACTCCCTCACCATCTAGACAGATCCAGAGCCTGTCTGGTCAGAACGTATGACGCAATTGATTCCTCTGTCCCTGGGTTCTTCTGAACTTCGGCTGCACATTGGTGTTAACTTACTTGGCTGCTGACTGATCACCTGACTTCACCACATCCATTGAGAATGCAGTGATGTTTGAATGCTATTACTGCAAGTGAATGTTAGTGACTGAACTGCAAATACAACTAAGTGCCCATACATAGTTCACGTCATTGTGTTTGTAGAGTTCATAGTGCAGATGGTTTGAATTAACCTCTGGCAAAATGTATAAGAAGCAAGTGCTAGCCAATGCAGAACTGGAGATACAGTATACAACTCTACACACAGTACTACAAGTAAGATAACACTGTGCAATATTCTACAGTTTTATGAGTTTCTTTGTCTGTATAATGATCTGCTGTCTTTAGTAATGATTCAGTGTCACCTGTGAGCAATTCAATATGGAAGCCTTTATGCTAACATTAGAGAGAAAAAACATTTCTGTGGTCATGACTTACTAAGGCATTTAGCTAGTTTAGTGATGCAACACAGGAAACTATAAGCCTGTAAATGCTAAACTTTGCACCAAAAATCATCCTTTTTAATATGATACCTGTGGTGGATGTGGTGCTATCAGGTCATATGACGTCCTCATGTATGTGGACGCGTGTTCACAGCTTTGAGAACTTGAAATACCAAGATTTTTGACATAGCTGACAAAAGGAAATGGAAGTTAAAAGACCAAACCAGAAACAGAATTTTAAAAAGGGGAGGTCAATAGTGTGACATCTAATTTCTTACTTTGCTTGTGTCATAATTACTATAACAATTAGAGGTTGCCAAACAATAAAATGTAACTATCGGCTGTAATAAGCTGCTGGCGCACACAAGCAGTGAACTCATTTTTCACAGGAGGACAGCCACGCTTTGTTATATGTTTATTAGCTATCTTTCTCTTTCTTTTTCAGCACTGCCTCCATCTATTTCCCATTGCCCATCATACTGCACGTCGTGGGCTATACAAAACATTTACTTTAAAATAGATCTGCTGCGGTAACCAGAACGTTTGATAAAACATTTTTTACATCTTTACCAGCTCAGCTTTAATTAGGTCCACGTTATTTCTGTAAATGCATTCTAGCAGCGAGCAGCAATTTTTTTTTTTATTCGTTTGTTTATCCACACCCTCTCCTCTGTCTTCTGTCAACCTTCCTTTTCTTTTCATAAAGTCCGACTCTGGTGGCTGAGAGTGGTTTCAGACCACTGCATTCTTTCTGCTCTTTGACCTTGAATACAGAAACTCCTGTACTGTGCTGTCTTGTAACAAGTCATTATCAAAAGGAAACAGAGGCTGCGCACACCATTTGATGTTGTGGAGAGCATCCTGGGCTTCACTGGATCGATAACAAAGATAGTCGCAATGCACAGAAGAGACCAACAAGTGTATTTTTTTTCTGAAGGATGTGAGGACTCCTACACTTTCCGTGTAACACTTTCAAGTTTGGTGTATGTGTGGGGTATACCAACTTTCCCTCTTGTACCAACTCACCTACTCATTCCTGGTTTCACATCTGCAACACTCCCACACATACTGTGTATATGTATGTGTGTGTACACATGAGATGTTTCATTTTCTATTTTCACATTCTTGAGACAGTGCTGACAAAGCTATGCTCAGTAAACCCTCCTTCTCTGCATGAGGCTGCTTTAATGATCACTTGTATCTCTATATGCATAAAGACCTTTCACTTACATCTAGTCACTCACCATTAACCTAAACTTACTGCAGATTCAGACCATAAGGGATTACACATTAACATCTCCTTCAGCTGCAATTAAGAATCTAAGCACATGAATATACTGTAGTTTACACAGACAGATGCTGCATTCATGCAGAACTGCTGCATGCTTTAAGCTCAAGAAAAACGTAGATTTAAAAAGTGCAAAATGCAGGTTCCGTGTTCTGACTTCCTGTGACACTGCTGAGTGACTGAAGGGGTGGTTGTCATAAATGTATAAATTCAATTCTATGTTTATTATTGACGTCATAGTTAAAGGTGGTGTTGTATTGGACTACATTATATTCAGAGGTGTTCCTAATATTCTGACCCTCTCATGTATGTAGCTGGGGAGGACAAAAATCGAGGCACGATGTTTATCATGACATCTAATGGTCCAAATTAATTTTCATTTAGAAAACGAAACAAACCAGCCGTCATCCGATTTTAATATATTTATGAATGGAAATCGGGAATTACAGTAGACTACTATGTGCATCCAATTTCAGGTCTGTGTGTCTGTTTGAAGGCAGAGCTACACACACACAGACACACAAAAGGTGCACAGCAGAACAGACAGAAGCATGTATTTTGGCAGCGTTCACACAGAATCATTCCCACAGGGTTGTGCAGTGCTGCGGCTATGCTTATTCCTGCTTTAGAATGTAACCACCATGAAACAATCAAAATAACATGAGATTCTCTGGTTCACTTTGTTCTGATGCCGCTCTCTCTCCTCATTCACTCTGTAGTGCTCTCTCTCTCTCATGCGGACCTCCAACCCACCATTTCGCCTCGTCCTGTTTATACAGGAGATGGGGCGAACCCGTCCCAGCAAACCTACTACCTCTCATTGCAGCATTTTGGAGGGTCAACATTTACTGCCAGGACTGTACCTTTTACACAGAATGGTGAGCAGCGTAAAAGGGGCTGGTGTTTAAGTCAGTGCACCATTTCAAAGAATGCAGAAATTTGACTTTGACTGTACAAGGAACTTTGTCATGTCCCTTTTATAAAATAATGAAAATGGGCTGTTAATTTCTCTCTCAGCATATTGAAAGCATATTTCTTATAGAACACTCATCAGTTCTTTTTGCTGTTATATTTGATAGGTAGCCTGGGAGTAATAATGGAAGGTGAACATAGCACTGGTAAAGAAAGGGAAAGATGGAGGAGGAGGGAGTAGGAACCAACACAAATCCAAATGGACAAAAATGGTTTTAAAATAGCTCCAGTCTTGGCAGAAGCATGTAAAAAAAAACCATAAATTGCATTAAAGGAATTGAAAATGTGAGAAAAAAAAAGGCTAAATCATACTCGATGTAAATTTCTGGCAGAACGTAACATTTTCTGATGCATTTATTACTACTCCTCATTTATCCTCCATGTTACCTCTGTACTGTGGGCGGAGGGCACGGTTGTTGGGGCAGTCTCGGCCCTGCTTGCTGAAATTGATGTTGGTTCGGATGCAGCGCTGTAGCAGAGGCTGGGTGGGCCGGGTGTTGTCGCTCATACTCAGGAAGATTTTATAGGGCTCATTCTGGCTGAGGAGGCGCAGGGAGTGCATCTGTGTCAAAAAGCGGAGTGGTAAATGAGAACAGGTTGGAGTTGAAACTTCAGCTACTAGCTAAATATACACTTTTTTTTGGACAGGCTTGTGCATTTTAACATAAAGAAAAATATCTTAAGTTATCTTAAAATTAAAATAAAGTAGTATGGTTGTATTGAATAGATGCTAAAGGCTTAGTGTGGCCATTTTAAACTATTCCTGTAAATGTAGGTTGAGCATGGCATCTTCATGGACACACATGCAACCACACTGCTACTGAACAGAATTCCAGGGGAAACATTGGTTAAATATATCGTGACTGCTGCACTTTGTCAGTGAATTTCCTCATTTGAAGAACCAGGTTTGAATCTGAACTATCCAGCTGCTCTTCAGTGACACAAGGATGTTACTTCGATACCCAGCTACAACTTGATGTGTGGCTATAACAGTAAATTTACTCCATTAAGACTGCTTCAACAACAAACTAAATGAAGGACAAGAACATTATTAGACTTTAAAACTACTGAGTCAAAAGCAAGCAATTTAATATTTTTTGTGTGTTCTGTGTATATGCACTGCATTTCATTACATTACTATAACAACAACACAGCATCTTTTATCTAAACCACTCAGGATAAATGAACTGAGTTCAGTTACAGGTTATGAAGTGCTAATTTGCAATTCAAAGTGCACTGTGCTGGCACGGAATTTACAAATTTCATTTCCGCCCCATTCACCAGAATGCATGTTGTTACTTATCCTACACTCACATACCTGCATCTGCGTCACGTAGACAGGCTTGTTGATGAGTATCCACGTGGCTGTCTCGTAGCACGGAGGGATAGTGATCGAGCCCTCATAAGTGATGTAACGTGTGGTGTCAGGGTAAAGGTCAGCTATGTTCATGCCCATCAGTAAGAATGCATCATCTGAACAGGAAGGAAGAAAGTGTTCAGGTGATGTGTTGTATCAAAGTCTGTTATGTTCTGACCCATTAACACAAATGCTCTGAAGAAATGATAAATGGTCTTATACTTGTATAGCACTTTTCTACAGCACACTATGCTTGTGTGTTTGGTTGATGTAGACCACGATGTCAGGGTGTGAATCTATATTGTTTGCACCAATTAAAAGCAATGACAAGCCTGAGTAATAATGTGTCAGAGAGAGAGAGAGTGTGTGTGTGTGTGTGTGTGTTTGTGTTAATCAGGAACTGTTCACTTGGTCACATTATAGGGATTCCCTTCCCATTTGTGGGTGAAAAAGCTGGTATCCACTGCATAATTCATTGAATTTTAGGGTTAAGGTTTGCCTTTTGGTTAAGGTTAGTATGTGTCTCTAGAGGTTTAACATATTGTAAGTCAATGTAATGTCCTCATAAGTGAATAAACAAGATTCTGTATGCATGTTTATGGTTGTGAGCACTGTTAATGTTTAGCCTTATTAGTATGAGGGGATTCTCCAGAGGGTCATACATTTTCACAGCATAGGCTGCAGTGTATTCATTTCTATAAAATTAAGAAAACATTCTTGTTGAAAGAAACACGTGATAGGGAACAAACAGTTTTATTCCCAGATGCTTTTTTTTTGTTGTTGACCTCAAATAAAGTCCACAGTCGGCCACTACAGAGACTTGACAGCAGTTTAGGGGTTTTTGGACTTAAATACGATGCCCGGTGTATCCTCAAGGGAGATATTCAGAGACCTTTGGATGAGCTGAAAAAGAAGTTATCTTCTGTCCGGCTACATAGACCTCACCACTGCTCAAACCACAGAGATATCTACAATGAATTCAGTTATATCTGACACCATTTTGTGGGACTCACCCACACCTCTCCTCCTACTCTGTGCCTAGCAGCCTAGCTAGCTGGACAGAGGCGGTTGTCATGGGTTGCAAGGGCGTTTGGACACCAGGCAGCCTCACTTCTTCCCCCCAGCCTTCCTAATCACTTTGCAATTTTACCGGATGAAGCCCTTGTCTATCCAACTGATCTCTTCATAGAGGCTGGTGGCACCTGTTGCACTGTGGTGGAGCTGAGATGGGGAATAGTGTCCCCTGCTGTCGCCTCGGGCTGCACCAGCAGCTTCGCGTTGAGTTCCATCAGTACCACAGCTGCTATTTTTGCTTCTGCCTGTGCTACTGCTTCTGCTGCTATTCCCACATCCTCATCTGACTCATTCTCATCAGTCTCATCCCCATCTATGCTGTCTGAATTGCCCCCTGAGGCAAAATAAATAGAGTATGGAGACACACCCCCAGTCAGAACTGCCACCCTCACTGCCCCATTCTCCCTCTCAGTCTTGTCCCTCAATACTGATCATTAGAAGCTTTAATGTAAGGAACATTAAATCCACAGGTGCTCACAGATACTGCTTTCCTGGGCCGAAGTTATGGACATTTATAATAAACTGCCATCTGTCTTGGAACACTCTCCCGATTGCTCCAACCTGGTCATCCATGTGGGATCAATTAACATCAGACAACAACAAACAGAAATCCTCTGTGCTCACTTTCAGGTTCTCCTTTCTGCCTTAAAGAACACGTGGAACAAATCCTAATTTCTTATCCAGTTCCTTCTTTGGCGTGGGGCTGTGGTCATTTCCCCCCCTTTATTCTCAATACACTCCTGGCTGAAAGCAGAATGTAGATCAACACGCTGGAAGTTTGACTTTAGCAAAAGTTTTGATCTGTTCTGGAATCAGTGAATTGTTCAGACCCGATGGATTTCACCCAAACCTGCAGAGGGGCTAAACTACTTTCAGCCAATACTGATTATCCACTTGTTAACCTGCAAAATGCTTTTCATACTGTGTGACAGCGCATGTCACCATGAGGTAACCATCAGTCAAACTCAGCAACGTTTACTGCATCCACCGGACAGATCCTGTACTACAACTGTTTTTTGGCATCATCTGATCAAGTTAAACCCTTACCATTCAGGGGGGTATGGACTGTCTAACATTTATCCAACCTGTCACTCAGCTGTGCATCATATCCCAATCCTTTTAACATCTGGGACAGTCCTGCGCTGTGCTGGTAATCCAACTCCGTTATATTTGGCTTTAACATATAGTATGTCATGTTTGATTATACATAGTGAATTTTTTCATTTGTTTTTACTTTTGAAGATGAATTAGCTTGTCTAAGAACAAAACACAGGCTTATAGAATGTGTGTTTGTGTCTTACGTTTGTAATTGATTCTGGTGATGGTGTCTCTGTTGAGCATGCGGTTGAGGAAGGTGTTGGAGTTTTCAGAGAGCTGATAAATCACAAAGAAAGAGGGGGGTCAAATATTCATCACAAACCACTGTACAACAAACACAGACAGTGCAGTAAAACTCATATAGGAAGTGGCCTAAGGACTAAAATTGTGAACTTATTTCACTGTACTGTAATCCTTGCATAATAATAATTCACAAATGAAACTTTTTTTTAACAATCTACCTTATGTTGACAGTGAGTGTATCAAATCATCACGTGTGTTTTTTTTTTTTACAGTTATATTTGTATATTAATAGTTGCTTCACTGTGTTCCACTGTACTCCCAGCACGACATGCTGACCTTTATAAAGATGGAGACCACAGCGATGCCATAAGGACTCTTAGCTGCCTCACTATAGTTGGTGTAGAGATCTTGGTTATAATGGATGAGCTGGACCTGAAAGACAAATATAACAACACAGATTATTACAAGCTAAACCAAACCAGAGCTGCAACTAATATTTTTTAATATGACATATGGTTCTGATTAATGTACAAATGTTATATGTTCATTTTTAAAATATAAAAAAAATAATGTGAAACATTAATTTTAATTTTGCTACACAAACAAAAGATTTATTTCATGACAGTGAAGAAACTGGTCAGTTTTTCCAGGGACTCCCAGCTGGTGGTTCGAGGGGGACTGTAGATTATTCTTGATGGGTCATAAGAACATGGGTCAGCTTCCTTAAAGACCTGTTCCTGGAGCTTCAGTTAATTTCTAAAATAGCACTTTTAAGATGAAGTACAGTTTCCCACCTCTTAGATTCCAGAATAAGTAACTTATACCAGTGATATTGGTCGTGTGACTCTAGCCTTGCACATCGCTCACTGTTGGTCTTTCCGGAGACTTTGCTGATTGGTACGGAGAAGAAACCTCCCACTTTTTACTTTTGATTGTAACAGCTGTTGTATTGAATGTGTGTGTGTGTGTGTGTTTTTAAATCAGGGCCTCTTCTGTTTTGCTGTAACATTAGAAGCAGTAACCCGGATTACTTATATAAGTGAATGCTTTTTTAAAAAAAAGTTTTTTTTCAGGATTTTGCCTTTTTTTGTAAGTGGGTCACAGAGAGCCAGACAGGAAATGGGGAGGGAGAGATAGAGGGACAGGAGACCTGTGACAAATATCAAAATGTCAGTGGCCAGACTCAAATCACCAACATCACACATGTACTGTACATAGATATGGCGCGCTGCTCAGCTACCGGGATGCCCATGCAATGCTTTTAATGTTCTTTCTTTGTTAATGTTGGTTCCCTTGCTTCAATGGTTCTTATTTCTTTGAACTTCAAGCCTCAGTTGTACATTTATTATTTTAATTTTAATTTTGTGAAATAAAACTGAAGGCTATAGGCTACACAAAGGCACTGTCTTATCACAGCTAAAGGGTCCCTGGTTTAAATCCAACATGCAGAATGGATGAATAGAAATACGGTGAAAGATTGCTGGTCTATCTGTGGACCGTAACCTGATATCTAAGGAAATATTTGGACCTAGGCGCTAGGCCAGATGAGAAGTACTGGTCTCCTCCCCGACAGCATTTCTTTCTCACGATGGTATCATTTGATTCAATAAAGAGTTACCGAAGAAGGGAAAAAGCTGGACAAGCTAACAAGCTAAAATCTACCGACAAGCTCAAAAATCAAAAGTGAATGACATATCACAACAAATCCAACAAACTACAATACAGCATTTCCTCATCACCGCCAAGAAGACCTGCTATTGATCAACAGGGCAAAATTGCACGTTAACATTCAACAAAGTTGAAATTGACAGCGCAAACTGTGGTGATTCCATTGATTCCACCACAGACTTTTCCGTTATCAATGCAGTTATGACTCGGCCTTACGAATGGGGACTATGTTAGTCTTAACAATAGAGAGCTTAGAAGAGGAGGCTCATCACACAGAAAAATGATGAAAGTTTAGGTAACTTAGCACACAAATAAGGATGGCAGAGTTGGTGTTGTGTCAAACTTTTCAGTCTGGCAGGCACTGGTTTCAGATGTGGTTTGACGAGAGCACCTCGATGGCTGGCTGTTTGAAATGAACACTCATGGCTTGAAAAACACTTCTTATAACAGTTTCTAGATTGAAGACAGAGCTAATTTATGGACCATAATTTGATAACTAAGGGTAGAGATGCTGGAATAACAGCAGAGGGTCATGGATGAGTGAGGTCAGAGAAGAAAGACCACATTGGTAGCCAAAGGGAAGGCAACAATAATTCAGATAACAGTGTGTTACAGCCATGCTATATAACAATCTCTGAACACACAGCATGTCACTTTATAGTGCATAGACTACAGTCAAAAGAAAATTCCTCTCCTGCTAACAAGGAAACTGAGGCTACAGGGGCATGAGCTCAACAAAGCATCCAATTTATGTTGTTTTTCACTGCAACAGAAATCGGTGTAAGCAGCCAAATGTTCCAGGGCCTTTGAATGTTACAGGGTCTTTGTCACCATCATCACACTAATCAACCAGTAGTCACAGATTTGGAATGGTCATGGATAAAAAAAGCATTATTTAACACTTGACTCAAACACTGGACTCCTATGGCAAGGTCCAGTGTTTGAGTCAAGTCTGTAATCCATACATGACAAAATCATATGCTATGGCCTTCACAGTCACCAGATCCCAACCTGTGGGACATTTTGGAGCGATGTGGTGTTCACTGCTTTGTTGCTTATGTGTTTTTTATGCAATGTGTCTCATAACTGTGTTGTCTCTCACCTCTCCAGGAAAGCCCTGTCCATTGAGTAGGTGCTCTGAACCCTGAGAGTCCTCACTCCCAAAGTGGAGGCGGACCTCCTCCAGCCGGTAGCTGTAACCCAGTGGGCCCCCAGAGATGTTCACTAGGTGGGCTTTGTCTGGTCGCAAGGACACATGCTTCCCTGTGTTGTACATGGTGCCTCCCATCTACAGAGAAGAACACAGAGAGCAAGAGATTTTAATGACACTTTGGCTACTACAGCACTTGGTAGGGCGGCTGTGGCTCTGGAGGTAGAGTGGGTTATCCTGTAGCCATAGGGTTTGGCAGTTCGATCCCACCTTCTCCAGCCCACATGTTGACATGTCCTCAAACAAGACACTGAACCCTTATTTGGTCCCGGCAATGTCCGGAGTATGTCTTTGAATGACAAATAATGTAAAGTGCTTTGAGTGCACATCAACGCATAGAAAGCTATTTATAAGACAATTTACCATATCACATAAGTTGTTTTTGTGCTTTAAACAGGACCAGTTGCACATTCATGTAGAAAATGTACAGCATTTCAAAAAGAAAACTTCCCTTTCAGCTCATAGTGCAGAATTAGCAATTAGCCTCTAGCAATTGGACCAGCAGTGCTATAAGTTGGTGGACAGTGTTTAAACCAAAACTGGTGAAGAGAAAACAGTTTTTAGTAATAGACTGACATATTTGAATCTGACATACTGCTGGGTAGCTTGTGAATTTTTGACCAGGGATCAAGAAAGTTTCATGATTATACTGCATTTTGTTTGTTCAATCTGATTCTGAAAAGTAACTAGTAGCTAAAGTAAATAAATAAATACAGTGAGTAGGAAGTCCAATATTTTTCTCTGAAATGTAGTGAAGTCAAAGTTGAAGTAACAGAAAATGAAAATTCTCAAGTACAGATACCTCAAAATTGTACTTAAGTATTGTTATTGAGTAAAAGTACTTAGTTATTTTCCACCACTGCTTTTAGCTTGGTGCAAAGATTGGTAAAAAGGGGAAACAGCTAGCTTGGCTCTGTCCAAATGTAAATTCCACCAAACACAACATTTAAGATCAAATAAACAGAAATAAAATAGCAAAGTTTTTCTGGCTCAGCAATTTATGCTACTAGTCAGATGTGCACTTGAATGTACGACATAGAGACAGCTGAGAGAGGTGGCAGCTTGCTGGCTTTGGATTAAAAATGCATCATGTTGTGAAACTTACAAATTTTCTGTGACAAAAAAGATCCCAGGTGTACAATCTCTTTTCATGACCCCCTACAGCAGATTATTAATAATCCTTTATTTAGTTCATTATGAGTCATGCTTTACTGGTGTACACTAATATAACATTACTTCTATAAAATCCAAAATGAGGGGCTTCTGCGCACAAACTGCAGGAATTTCATATTTCAATTTCATGAGAGCCAAGAAATTGATAATAAACTAGCTAAAATATAACAAACTCATGATAGGTTAAAAAGAAACCTTTGCCTCCATGCTATTTGGAAGTTATTTCGCCTCAAATAACAAAATGTTGATGAAACATCCCATCTCATTAAATTGTAGCTGTGACCTGAACAACATGCTGTTGTAATTCCAGTACATTGATAGTGGTGTTACTCACTGTGATTAACTACAGGACAAGTTATGAGTTACTACTCTACTTAAGTGATGTTAGACAAGAGAAAGCAGTTTTCACTTTTTGGTTTTCAGTTACCTAGGGGATAACTTGAAATTCTGGGAAACCAATCTGAAGTATTGTGAGCATGGATACCTTGAGGGAAGAATAACTGAAGTATTGATAGTTGTTAAACTAGAGATACTGGCGTACTGTAATAAAGAGAACAAGGGGCACCTTAAGCTGTATGGTTCCATTTACAGCCGCCCTTGGATAACAACTCAAGTTCACTAGAGTTATTATTCTTTAATGATCATACCACTTGTGTGGCTGGCGCTTCTGTGGTCATGTCACAGTTACTACCAAGTCCACGCATGAGAAACTCTACTGTTAAGCTACGTGTTTTATCAGTTTTTAAGTTAGATGTGCAATATGCGTGGCTAAACCTGCATAATGACATCCTGACCAATTAGTCTTTTAAATCTGTTCAGCTGAGGCTCATGAGCCACTTTGTGCTTTCTGTGAAATCCATGTCAGGTGTAGAGACTGGACTGTAGGAGACGGCCCACATTTCAGCATATTAATTTTAAAGCATGGTAAGAACATCAACCACATCTCTAAAACTAATATAAGGGTTGAGCTGACCACACAGATTAAAATACTTGAAGCACTTTGGTAAATTTGCACATCTGAATTTTTGATGAAATGAGAGCTGGAAACTGAATAACTTAACAAACTCATCTTGCTATACAAATCCAGATCATTAGATCCCTACCACTTCAGCTGTAAAACCTATCTCAGCCTCAAAACCTTCTTTCAGAAAACTATGGATACCACTACAGATGCAAAACCCATGAATGTGTCCATGTCTCATTTACTGTCTTCTTTACCTGCCCTTTGTGTTCAGTGCTGGGTCATCATCATTGTGCCTTGCTTTGTGTTGTAATACAGTAAAAGTTCTTCTATATTTACTGTGTATGATGAAGTGATTCTGTGTGTGTGGATTAAAACATCTTCTCCTGTTGCTCATATGACTCTACAGCTGTATGTTGTCAGTTATTCACAACGCCCCTGGCAACACATAAACCATTAATGCTTGTTACCCGCACGCCAAGCATATTCATCATACATATTATATGACATTTGCTGCATATTCATTACCGCTCTTGAGGAGAAAGCACTCAGCCTCAGTTTAATTGTGGCATGCACAAAACTAAGCCATTACTCACCAGCCTGAGATCTATTCACAGCATAATCCTAAAAGAAAAGGAGGGTATTATTGTATGAGAGGCTAAGGGTTTAGAATCTAAAAATGACCAAATGATTTTCACTTTTCTACATCACTCAACAAGTCCTGTTACAGACAGCACAGAAACTAAGCACTTTTCTATTATATATGGAATAATATAGTGATTTTTTTTTTTAAAAAGGAACCTCATGCAAGAGGATTTTTATTTTCTTATCTTATTGTAACCTCTCTTACTTCTTTTTAGGCTACATGCTTGTATGAGGCTCCAAGTTATTTCCCTGCATCTTCTTCTCCTACCAGTTATATACTCCATTCCCAAATTGACACTGAGCACTATTTATGTAGAAGTACTGCACATAAATAAGGGGGGGGGGGGCCCCACATCCAAGCTTTTAAAAGTAACACAATAAAATTATAATTATATTGTAGTCACTGCATTTATGGTCAAACTGACCGTGCTCTGTCTGAGCGCACAGCCGGTGAATGTGTCGCCCACTTTATCTCCACCTACAGCTGCTTTCAAAGCTGATCAAACCGCCACAAAATGCATAAACAAATACAACGTAGTAGTAACGTCTGTGTGTCTGTGTGAAACTTGATCATTTGTAACTTATCAGTGACAGCAGCCACAATGAGGTTGGACTGACTTTTCCTGCTGCATAACATGATTAATCGAGACGTCTGCAGGGTGTTTGTTATTTATCTTGGCTCATGAGCTGCTTTCTGCTGTGATATTACATGTAATGTTTTTACCATAAATTTGGATTCCCAAACACCAGCTGCAGATCACCTCTGGCTGCATTATGTACAGACAGATGGTGCATCCTCATGTGCACAGTACTGTTTGACCATATTCATATCCACAGCCATATACTGAGAATTATTCAGATTTAAATATCATCTTCATGATACACAATAAATTATTCTGAGTAAATTCAAGCAGATCACTTGTAGAGTGTGTGGTGCTGTTGTTATTTTGGGTCAAAACAAGCACCAAAACTGGACTGCGCTGCCTAATTAGCATACACACGGCCTCAACTGTGCCTCTCCTCCCACCTCAGTGTAAGCACAGTCAATCATAGCAGGGAAATGCACCAATGCACAAAAAATACACATGCACCCAAGGATTTTTTTTTTATTATATCAATTGTACATTTCTAATGTTAAGCTCAGTGACTGGACAGTTTCTGCCAAAATGCTACTTGAAATTCAAAATCATCAAGTTTTATATCTACATGCTTTTGACTTTTTGTTAAAGAAGCAGAGATTAACACATTTGTTAATTTTTGTACTGAACACTGCTAACTGTACTTGCCAGGATAATTTCATGCCAACAACAGTGCTACAACTGTGAATTGCATAACACTGCTTATGTCAAAAATCAAAAGGATTTTTACTTCTGGAAAAAGAGAGGGCTGAAATAGTGTAGTGCATATTATTATTTAAACTGTGTCAGATTCATTTCTAAAACATAGCATAATCTGAAGCTACAGTGAAAAACAGCTGTGCCCGCATACTGTATATGGAGCCACAAAGCTTAGATCTCAAGTGGTTTTCACATCTTTTGAGAAAACCGCATTAGATGATGAGGGTGTTGCACAGCAGGTGGGATGTGTCAATTACATGTGGGACCTCCCTGCACTGGACTGAGGAAAACAAGTCAAACACACTCCAAGTAATTGAGTACAAACAGGCTGAACCTGTTTGATGTGCAGTCTTATAAAATCTAAACAGAGAAAGGCAAAATATGAAGCCCTACATCTGTTTCATCTGTGTATGATAAAGAGAAAAGAGAAAAAACAAATCACAAGATTAGATACAAGGACTGAAAAAGAAGGAGGTGCAGGAAAGTGGAAACATGTAAAGATAAGATGTAGATGTAAAATGGATAAAAAAGAAAGGCAGACAGAAATGATGGAGAAGGTTGAACATAAAATCTAATTAAGACTGTGCAGGTTGAAATCCTGCTGACAAAGGAGTGAAATGGAAAAAAAATAATCAGACCTTTCTCACAACTCTTACAGGGGGATTTTTACTAAGGTTTTGTGGCTCATTTTCTGGTGCTAAACAGTGAATTGCATGTGTTCATATTTACTAAGGGGTTTTACAGTGGAGAAAGAGAAGAAATGCGGCACTGTGGGAATTTGCATGCAATGTGCATTTTAAGGCTTTCCCATTCAGGGACAAAAATCAAGGAGGACAGAAAAGTCCCTGACCAGAAGAGAATGTGAGGGGCTTTTAAAGGCTTTCAGGTCAGACCATGCTTCAATTTCTGAACTAAATAAAAGATGATTTGACTGGCAGAAGACTACGTGATTAAAACTCCAA